TACTCGAGGAATTGAAGTTTAAAATGGTATCGTTTTTGTTTGACATTTATCCGACTATAAGTTTTCCAAATATTCGCGAGTATCGTCTCCATCAATTAGACGCATATCTTTTCACACATATCGAAGCGGTTTGATGAACAAGACTCTTTCATTGTTTACTTTATATATTTCCCGGGCGACAATTGATGGTTACATCAATGTTTTCTTGTTAATGCACATATGAGTTTTCCCGACATTCACAGGTCGTTCTATAAATAGCATTGATGCTCCAACATAAAAACAGTTTCATTAGTTAAACTCATAATATTTAAGACATCTTTTGCATTGAAGTGCTGAAAATAGACATGTCTTATTTAACATTATCAATGTTTATTTACTTTATAAACTATGGGGAGGTACTTAGTTCAAACACATGTGCTTTTAATAAACAGTGACCTTCACCTATATTCAAAAGCGGGAAAAATCAAACATCAAATAAAAGCAAATAAGTTGTCACAAAGTTTACTTGTAGGCATAAGTGCTACAAATTAATGAGCACCTTTTTTATTTCAAGTAGACTGCAAAAGACTACAGTAGGGACATAAGTTAATAATAATAAAAAGGTGGATGTCACTATAAGGGTCTATTTGCAGTTCAGCAAAAATAACACAATACACAAAACAGTAAAAAGACAATGGCTTTATAGAAAATTTTAATAGAGCAAAATTTTTTTTGAATTAGCCTAATTCTATTTTTATTTATTTATTTTTTTTTTACCAACTCAATTTTTGAATATTTTTTAAGATTGAATTTATATTTTTCATTTAAATACATATTAACATTTAAATACATGTACAATTAACTTAACCAAGACACGCCGCGCGCCATCAATTCAGCGAAATTCCCCCCATGCATCAAAAATTTTCTGGGGAAAACACTGATTTTGTGTAGATTTGATTAAAAAAAAACTTCCTTAGGCCCAGTTTTGGTCATAAATATGGAGTTAAAACTTTAATGAAATTAAAAAAAAAATCATCTAAAGAAGAGCAGAGGTCAAGTGATTCAAGTGAGCATTGTGGCCCAATATGAGAAACTAGTTGCAAAATCAATACTGTATTTAGGGAAATTTTTGCCCCTGTTCTATTTTCACCCTTTTAGCCCTGTTCAAAGTTGGGCAAATTTAAAACAGGGCAATTTTCAAAGAAAATAACATAATTTCTTAAACAGAACCATGACTGGGTGAATTTAAAATGGGACAAAGTTGTTCGCAAGTGCAAAATGGTAAAATAAACATGGGGAGAAAATAAACCTGTATAATACAGTATTTTGTCTTTTTTTCTTATTTCAGGCTGGTTTAGAAAATGAGTTTAGCAAGAGAATAGATCTCATGCATATGTGAAAACGAGTCAGTGATGTTGATGACCTTGAAATGATATCAGTTAAAAGAAGATCCCTGGAATAAAAAAAGACAGGTTATAAAATGAATTTTGTATATATCTTGTATATTAATACATGTAGCATTTTGAATAAAATATACTGAAAACAGAGAAGTGACTTCTAACATCTTTTGTCTAACAATGTCAGATATTGAGTTTTTTTTGTTTTTTTTTTTCAAATCAATTCATCTTTTTTTAGCAGTTTTCAACTGTTATTTTTTAGGGCACCTGAGTAAACTCAGGTGGGAAGATACTAAATATCTTACCTTTTTAAAGATCTGACTGACCTGAGTCACCTGACCAACATAAAATTCATTTAAGAGGACCACTTACAACCATGAATCCTAACCAACCAACCATGACTTAACTATTAAAAACGAGAACTTTCAAGCTATATTCTTGTATATTTTTGTTTAAAATGTACAGTACCAGAAAATCTCTTAGGGTGAGTACATGTAGTTTTCACTGGAAAGACATCTCCGGGTGGCTAGTTCTAACTGCAAAGATCTCGGGTTGAGTAAATTTTTGGGTCTCCCTATAGTAAAGGTAATGTTGGGAAAAAAGTGTGTTAAAGGGGCTGGGTCGGTGTGGCCATTTTTAGACTATTTTAGTCTCCTTTAGAAGAAGAGTTCCATATGAAGATATACAAAAATGGTCAAATTTTAAAACTAAAATGTATGATATTTTTCTTTGCTAAATGATAGTTGACAGCTTTTTAAAAGATACCATATTTAAACCAAAGTCTCTGATGAGACTGTAGCTCTACTGGTCTGTTCGTGTACAGGAAAAGTGGCACTTGGATTTGTTTTTTCATCAGGCAGAAATAAATAGAATTATATATCTAAGTGTAGTCTGCCGTACTTGTGTGCCAAGTTATATTGAAATCAGACCAAAACTGTTGAAACTTTTATAGGAATTTAATAAAGATTTCTATTTTTAGTAACCATGGCAACACCGTTCATCAAAATCAAAAACCAATGCACCAAATTATGTATCTTAGTGTGATCTACTTACACGCCAAGTTATATTGAAATCGAACTAAAACCTGTAGGAGGAGTAGCGTTTTAAATGAATTTCTCAGAAAATTCTATTTTTATTAACCATGACAACGTTAACACCGTTCATCGAAATCAAAAACCAGCACACTAAATTATGTATCTTAGTGTAGTCTACTTGCGTGCCAAGTTATATTGAAATCGAACCAAAACTGTAGGAGGACCGGAGTAGCATTTTAAAAAAAATTTACAGACAGACGGACAGCTAGACAGACGGACACCTTATTGTTGCATAAGCTCTTCTGGTCTCTGGAGAGAGAAAGAAAGAGAGAGAGAGAGATGAATTGTCGCTTAATATATTCAATACAATGGATTGAAAACTTCTTGTTGATGTATTGTGAATAGATTTATTTGATTAATTATAATTTAAAAAAAAATTGCATACAAGAGAGAGAAAGAGAGGGGGGGGGGGGGGAGAAAGAAAGAGAAATGAATTGTCCCTGAAATTTATGCTTCAAACACTTTTATTCTGTGTACGTAAAGAATTTATGATTTAAACATAAATATTTCGTGTATTTTTAAAATTTATGCTTCAAACATTAATATTTTGTGTATTTATGTCATGATTACGTATTTTCATCCCACAGGCTTTTATTTTAAAGTTGACGTCAAGTTTCTGCAAAAAAAGCAAATGACTTTGTTCCCTTTGTTTCATATTTTGTTTATTTGAAGCACGTAGAGGGATCTCATTCCCTGTTATTATTCTCTGAACTTTGATTGTTAAAAAATTGCAGTTGGGAGTAATTTACATTGCATATGACAAAATATTCAGTTTTCATATAATGAGATTTCCATTGGCCATCAGTGCTAGTAAATAATTCCAGACCATAGAATTGATGGACTAGCGGTACCGTAATAATACGATGAAAGAAATTCACAACTTAATTAAGATTCATTGCTAAGGTTCTTAAACCCTCTGCTTGCTCATATAAAATATTTCTTTAACTTTTATAATTTTCCAAAAGAAAAGTATATGCTAAATAAAATACAAACAATTTTATCATGGCTTGCGGGGCAAAATTTGACAAAAAATGCACTTCAACATTACAAATTTATAAAGAATCATAGAGATTTGTGTCATTAAGAGTTATCTTTCTTATCAGAGTACTTAGTATCAATGTACCTTAAGTCTCAGCTGGTAATCCGTTCAAAAAAACTAAAGAAACATGTCCAATTAAAATTCATCTAAGATTTCTAGTCGTTGTTGCAAAACTGCATTGAATTTTTGACACAATTTGAATGGAAATACGAGAACGGCCATGTATTAGCACAGGGTCTAAATGGGTTTAAAATGAAATTAAATAGGAAGAGGATTGCGACCAATTCTCTAGGCGTATAAGTCTAAGGGGCATACATGTATTAAGTGGAGTTGTCCAACTTTAGTATGAAGTGACTTGAAATATGCAAATTTCAAAACTTTTTGCTGAGGTGAAGGCAAAGTTTTTATAAAAGGGCATCTTTGAAGGACGGTGGTGGGTAAATTACTATTACTTCGCTGTACCAGAAGAGATCTTGTGCTTCTTGGGGGAAAAACTGAATAGCTATGCAATAAGGTCTCCTGTATTGCACTGCAATGCCTTGCAATGTTCCTAAATGGAAGTTCTCTTGGAATTTCCTCACCATCAGTCTTTCACTACACAACAATTAAGTCCATGTATTTTTGGTTTTTCATCACACGATGAATTGTGGTCCTTAAATGAGTTTTGAACAAAAGGGACAAGTGCAAAGCAGTACAAAAAAAGAAATAAACCTCATATTTTAAATGCAATTGACATTGTTTGATCACTTAATTAATCAAAACCAGTTTTCCCCCAAACTTCCGTAGATGTTTTATTGAAAATTTGAGTGATGCTGAATACTGTATGTGTACTTAAAAAAACGGGCTTCATATTTTAACGGTTTTGGTGTAGACAACGATGCGCTATATTGATGAATACTGCTAAGAAATAATTCATAAGTAGAATATACGGCATAAACATGTGCAGCGCTAGCGGTTATTCATGATTTCGGAAACTCCATATCCATTGTTTACGCGAAATTTTAATACGCCAAATTATGTACACGTACAGTAATTTGTCATACTGTAGTATGCAAATTGCAATGTTTACTCCAAAATTACCAGATGCAATTTTGTCATGCAGTTCCGTATTTTGTAGTATTTTACACAAATCACAGGTCTTTTAAAGCATGTGTCTCAAAGTAATATCAACAAAATGAGACAAAAAGCACAGCATGTTGTTTAAATGAGATTAATTTATTGAATCGATTTTCCTTTTTCTCGATTTTACAAAAAAAGGAAGTGGTAATTGACCTTTAAATACCCACCTTTTTATCACACTTCATGTCCCTTTTGCCAACATCGGTTACTTGTTATATTGTATCTGTTTCTGCACTTTTCAGACTCAATTTCAGAACTTGACACTTCAAAACCATTATAGTATAAAAGAGACTTTGGCTATGCGTTTACCATTTACAAATAAGAAATAAATATAAAATGTAAAAATACTAGTACTAGTTTTTTGTTTGAAGTAAATTGACAGGGAAATAATAATGTAGTCATTCAATGTCGTGAGTGTATATCATTCTTCTCATTGGATAACCACTGATCAATAGGTGGCGCACCGCCACATCCTCCGAGCTACACTTCGCTAACGTCTCCTGAATCAGTGCCTTCGTCGCCGTTGGGAAGAAGATGGAGAGCCGAACTACAGCGTAAGTGTATTCCAGACGCCCGTGGCCATGTCTTATTTTCCGAATCTTCTTGTCAAATAAAGTCGCCATCACGGACATTTTCCTTTCTTGTCTTTCTCTTTCTATTCTTGCTTGCGCCATCACCTGCTCAAATCGTCCTTGTCGATATGCACGACCTTGAACGTTTTCTTGTTTCTTTCTGCATCCAATGAAGAGAACAATCAGCAAAGCCAAATTTAGGGATCCAAAGAAAACATAGTACCAATTGTTCTTCATCCACATACCAATGTCGTGCCTTACCTGTGAGCTGAACGCATTTTTCAACCTCTCAATCACATCGTTGGGGTCTTCAGATATGCACGTGCGTTGTGAGTTGCAAAACCCTCTGAAATTGTTACAGGACGTCCCGGACTCCAACATTATAGTTTTCCCTGTGGTTGAAAGGATTCCAAAATCGCTGGCTGGTCTACAATCGGTGGCATTGATAAATTTGCAACAAAGTTTGCAAGCATCTTGAAAGTTATTTGTACACTGGCATTCTGCAAGGTCTTTCCTTTCACACGCACTCTTTACGCACGTCCCATTATAACAAAATTTCCTGTCCGATTCACACGATGTATTGTCCGGTTTTGATGTAGGGGATGGACACTTGGGGTTATTTCCATCGCAGACGGCAGTTTGGCGACACTCGGATGAGACTCCGCACTGCTTGTTTGCACTTACTGGTGTAATGGTACAGTCATGTTCACAACAAAATCCAGTTTTGGGTGAGCACACTTTTCCTTGCGATCTTCTGAAGGTACACGGTGGGTCCGAAGAGTTTGTGACGTCGGATGGTGTACAGCAGTCATCAGTGTATACACAGGAAAAAGACGTGCCGCAGTCACATTCTTCACCTTGCTCAATAATACCATTTCCACAAGACGGGATGCTCCTATCAGCAAGACACGATCCTTTGTTTACAATAACAGGATACATTACATTTGTGCTGCAAGGCGAAAATTTCTTTTCATTTGGTTTTGTTCCAGTACTAGCGAATGGGTACATGATGAAATTTCCGTAGGTGGTCGAGGTGCAAGAAGGATCACTGTCTGGATCGTGCGAGCTTCCAAAATTATGACCAAATTCATGTGTCAATACGAGAGAAGATTTGTAACTTGTCAGACGTTTGCCATAGTTGAGCATAGAGACAAGAGCAGAGTTGAAGCTGTACATCTTGCCATTATACATAATCCGCTTTTGACATAGTCCACCAACAGCCCCGTATATACTGGAACTAGCCGTCCAAGCGAGACCTACAACCCCATTGTCGAAATCACGGTAAGTGAAAGCTATTCCCAAGCAGTAGGGATCCAAGTCATATTCTGAAAAGGCATAGAGGTAGTCGTAGGCACTTAAATTTGGATCACTCATGTGGAACCCACTGTAACTGGAGTCAGTAATGACAGTTATATTAGATATTTCAAAGCCTATATTGTCACCATAGCCATTTCCATCAAAATCCGTGCTTCGAAAAATCATGTCTGCTTGGGCAACCTGGTATCGCATCTCGGATATTGTTTTTGATAAGGATGAACCACCAATGTTTTTATAAATATCAGGATCGGCTAAAACATTCAAAGAACATGATCTTGCAGAAGGCTGTGAAGATCGCTTAGTTTTAAAATGTAAGCTCTGTCTGTGGAAAACGTTTGTACCATTAGGTTTTATGGTGGATTTCAGATGTCGCATCGTCTGTCCTTCTGCATAGTGGACGTCAAAGAAATCAATGCGAGAGGAATTATCCTCTCTGACATCCGATTTTCTGTAAACGATGGATTTGTCAAACACCTGCAGATATTTTTCTAATGGTTCGACAAAAAATACCTCATCTTTATAGGATACATATCCGTCATATTTCCCATTCTGAATTTTTCCAAATGCAAACGAAATTTGTGGAACATTTGCATCGTATCCTTTCACTAGCGTTGCTCCTTTCATTATTATATCGGACTGCACTTTCGGTAATACATTTCCATTTACTATTACATGGGCTGACGACATTTCAACCGAGGTATCTTCTGTTAATTTTAGGAATATATTTTGACCAAATGCTGACAAATTTGTTATCATGAAATTGTTTGAATATTTGAAATACGGCGACCTGATCACGGTGTAATTCCGTAAAAATGGAAACGTTCTCCTAATTTCTCTTTTCAGATTAATCTCTTGTGTTAGAGTTAAACCCGCTATTCCGTATAAAAATGTTAAAATGGCAAATCTCTTCATCACTTTCATATTTGTGGGGCATCTGTTTCACAAATCTACACAAAGAGGAAACAACTAAAGGACAGTAATTTTAGACTCTAAAATTGTAGAATATCAATTTCCGATAAAATGTGGGGAGTTGCCTCTAAAGTATTACAGTTAATTCTCGATAAACCGCCACCTTTTGTAATTTAGAAATCATGGCGGTATAACGAATTTGGCGATGAATTGAATTTCCCATCTTTAAGGGAACAAAAAACAGACCATTGTTTATGCTAGCCTCAGAAATACCATTTAGCAAAAAGTCAAATTCCCTATTATTACATGTACATGTATATAAAACATATTTCTAAATTTTAAAATAGTAATAATTTATGTACAATTTTGCTAAATCAAAATGTGCAGTTCTGAAATAAAGACAAGTACATGTGGATGCATGTAAATTTGCACATCTGATATTGAAAAAAAAACATGTGATTTTCTTTTATGCCCAAGGGGGGGGGGGGGGGGTATCTTGCCGATAGTACGGCCTAAAAGGTGAATTGTTTAAGAGATAAATTCATTGTTATTTCATTATAGTAATGAAACGTTCACAATTTATACAGTATAATTTTTTAAAAGCAAACTTTGAAGGTTTAAAGCAGATATTATCAAAATAACATTTATTGGTGTAATTAAACATATGACCGCTTTCGTGGCGAAGCAATGACTAAATGATTTTTATTAAACAGAAAACAAAATTATTATAACACTTCACTTAAAATTATTGTTTATTTAATTCTTATTTAATTCTTAATTGCATGAACCTCGTTTGGCTTGCTTTACAACAGGGATAGCGTCAACCAATTAGCCGCGCTTCACTGACCACATGCACCTGTGGCGGTATATCGAGATAATTGACACTTAAAAATGGACGTTTGTTTTGAAAACAGGGTGGCGGATGGCGGTATGAAAATATTGGCGTTATAAAGAGAATTTTATATAGCAGGAAAAACGTTCTTGGGAAATCATGGCGGTATGGCGAAAATGGCGATGAATCGAATGACGATAATTCGAGAATTGACTGTACATGTAAGAAAAGAAAGGATTGATCCGACTGACATAGGCGTCGGAACACAGGATTGATGAATTTTTTTAACAATTTTTTTTCCAAAGATATACTTAGGATAGACATTGAACATATCTTCGTAGGTTTAGCCCCCCCCCCCCGCACACATTTCTAAAGATATTTAGTACAGGTTAAAAAGCTGAGAGAAAGTGGTGGTGTTTTGGAAAAAAAATTTGGTAATGAAGTTCGAACCTAACACCCCCCCCCCCCCAAGTAGGATTTTCGTGTTTTAATCTATAGTTTTGCTTTGGTAGACTTTTTTGCTTGTCAGATTTTTGCATGTATAAAAATTTTGAATTTCCACTTTAAATTGTTTTCCGTGGCGTCAATGGACTGATCAGTGTATTTTTCTTTTTTTTCAATAACATAAAATGTACGCGAAACTTTCGAAATTGAATAAAATTACATGTTATATCGCGAAACTTTCCATATAACGCGTTTTCGCCTTATAACGCGAAATTATATGCATATATATATACTTAAAAATCTAACACAAAGTCACCTTCCTTTTATTCATCAAAATTATATACAGGTTATATATGTAAAAAAAGTTAACGTGATCTTACTTGCCATGGTCAGTTATTTAACGGTATGAGATGAATTTCTCTGATGTCTGCGCCGAAGTTGCTTTTTAAGATCATTGTAATGATCACAGAATTCAAAATTTTTCTATTTTTATTATAATTTTACAGCATTATGTTTCAAAGGTTTTGAAACTGTTAATCATAAGTATTGTTCCAAAAGGCGGGGTGTATGCTATGTTGTGCGCGGGGTGTATGCTTATATTTCCTCGAAATGACTGATTTTCATTGCTAATGCTGAAAATTTTTCAAAATAAAGCATAAAAAAGAGCTGCAGATGCAAATATACACTATATAACGACCCATCAGGTTCATGTGTTTCAAACATAAACAATTCCGTGACCGGAAGTCAAAAAGTTGCTACACTGTGTTTATGTAAGAGAAAATTTGCTTTATCGCAATATTATTGTTAAAACATGTTTACAAAAATGCCCAAAATGTTAATTTCAGTTAGATATAAAGACATTAATAAATTAATGCATGGTAGAAATCGGGCTGCATTTGTTGTATTTGGCGGACTAGTACTTTTTCCTCTAATGGTCGGAAGGGGGATGTTTTAAGAAATTTAACAACTATTTTTGTGATAAAAATTTCTATTTTTTTTCTAAAAATAACATTTAATGTTTAAATGGAGCATTATTTTTTTGTTAATTTTTTACCTAAATATATTCATTTTTGATGTTATCATTAAACTTTTGAAGGTAACACATAACTCTTAAAACATCCCCCCTTGTTTATCAGTCATTTTGAAGAAATATACCAGCACATCCGGTAAAGAAAAAGGCATTTTTTCCCGGCCTTTTTGTAAATACTTATGATTAACAGTTTCAAAACATTTAAACCCAAAATATTGTTAAAATTTTATTAAAAATTTTTTGAATTCTGTTAAGATATTTAAAAAAACTTCCGGTAATGGAAAGAAATTCATTCAACCGTAAAATAACTGATTTGGCAAAGTTCATGTCCTAACTTTTTTGGTACATAGTTATTACCTTATATAATTTTCATCTAAAATTAGGGTGTTGCGTTTCCATTAACAATGAGTATAGTAATGCTAAATTAACAAAACTTTGTAGACAATTAAACATAAAGTTGACGGGAACTCTCAGGAATTTATTTATAAAATATCGTTTCCTCAGATGTACTGGAGAAATGATGCGAGAATAGGATAGATTAGTCATCAGAATATTTTTTTTTAAAAAACCTCACCATTGAATTAAAATGAGTTTTACTTTCTTGTACATGTTTTTCAATCGTTAAAATTTAATTTAATTCTTTAGACTGATTATTTTTTACGGAAAATCTGGACGTGACACTTTTTTCAAGCCTTTTTTAATCGGTAACATTTACTACAACTGCACCACTAGGAAATTAAGCAAATAAGTAATTTTGGACAAAAAATTATATTATACACTGTAGAAACATAACGTAAAAGTGAATGAACAATATATATAATTCCATGAGCTTAACGGGTCATATGATGCTGTTTAAATAACAATTATAATTGGATATTGTTAATTACAAATTTATTGAGGAGGAGGAGGGGTCTCTGAATTTTCTCCAATATTTATATATTGGGTTATAGAGAAGTTTGTGGGCTAGCCATAAATAAAAACTATGAAGAGTTTGTACACTTTGAATCGTCGATATCAAATAGCAAAAGTTTCGCTTTATAACGTGAAAATTACGCGTTTATTTTTTTCAAAGTTTCACGTTAATTTGTAAAGTTGTAACGTGTCCCGATCTTGGGTGTTACATTTTTACCTTCGAAAATGAGCTCATTGGGCTTTCGTAAATATTAAATGCAGTAGTGGTCCATATGTTATGTCTGAGAGGAATAAAAAACAGACCATTGTTTATGCTAGCCTCAGTAGTACCTGGTATGCAAAAAGTCAAATTCCCTGTACTCAATTCATGTTATAAATTTCTAAGATTTAGTGCCTAGCTATAAATTAAAAAAAACGTGTTATAATCCACGAGTACTCACAAAATTTTCTCGTGAAATTTTGCAGATTCACCATTTATTAATAATCGATCATTTTGGGGGTTGCAAATAGATTTAAGAAAGTGTGGTTTGCTTTTATGTCCGGGGGTGGGGTGGGTGGGTGGCTTCCTTCCATTTTAAATCGGCCTAAACAGGTAAAAGGTAAGTTACTTAATGGTTTAAGAGATATCATCATAAATGTGCATTACCTGTGTGAAGACCTTTTTAAATGTACAGATATTTAGATTAAAACCCTGAAAAAGAAAGTGTCTTCATGCAGGGAACAAGGCGGGCAGGGGGCCTATAGCGAGAGATATTAAAAAATCATATCAAGTATGTATATAACAATGATTATTTAAATTAACGTCTTTTATCATTGAAATTTTAGAAATTATGTTTTTAAAAAAACTTTTTAGAGAGAAAAAAATTGTTTTTTATTTTCTTTTATAAAATTATTAGATGGTATTAGATGGGATATCAACCCTAGCAATAAAAATCCTGTTAAATAAAACTCCTTTGAGACTAACGCGTTAATCACTATGCCACACCGCTCATGAAGATTTTGGGCATTTAAATCATGTTTGTGATATGACCAGCGACTTAATAGACTTGAAGTATTTCTCAGAAAGATGCTAATGTTGTGTCATAAAAGTGTACTTTTAAAACGTTTATATTGTAAACATGTATTTAACAATAATATAAAAGTGTATTTTAAAGCCAACTTTTAGGATATTCGATTATAAACACAGTGTTGCGTCAATCTTGATCCGATCCACGGAATTGTGTTGAAATTGTTTGATGAAAAAATGTCCAGTTTTTGTTCTTTATAGTGTGTGTAATGCTTTCTTCATAGGCAAATATTTTTAGTCTTTGTGAAATTTTTTAAATTGAGAAAATTTACATAGAAGTATACTTTCTCTATTAGCATAAATATCATAGTAAAATTTGGGATATAATTGGATTACAAGATTTTCACTTTTCTTACAATGGCATTTAATTAGCGGGGGGGGGGGGGGGGGGGTTTACACTTTAACCTACAGTACATGAATTTTTAGATCAAATCATAAACCTTTACAAAACAAGAAAGAAACTTTCTGTATTCCAGTGGCTGACACTCAGCTTTTTTAAAAAAGCTAACCTTGTGTGACCTTGGCCTGGTAATTTGATCTACTTATCTAAAATCTTATAAGCTTCTCCGCAACTTCTAATTTGATCTAGGACTTTCTTGACCTTTCAGTTTTAAGAAATTTTAATCTTGGTCGCAACTTTTAGAATTTCGAAGTTCATTTTTTTCATTTGCATAGTCAGACAGAAAAGGCAAAATACACAGACAATTAAGACACTGAATTAATTTCAA